CATAACGAATCACAAAAGATAAAACCAAATCAAATAACAAATAACAGACACCTGTGTTGACTTAAAGTCCAGATGGTCACCACAGTATGTCGGGGCCCAAGACAATCAACACAGAGTCAAAAGCAATCAAGAAACAAATTGAGAACACAGGGCAATCAACACAGAGTCAAAACAGTCAAGAAACAACTTGAGAACACAAACAACACGTTTACAGCTAAAAAAGAGAAAGACAGGAACAAGAAACCCTCACAGTGCAATAGGCAAAAAATGGAATCAACTCCCTGAATCTGTTCCCTTCAAGGCTTTATCAGTGATGAAATCCGACCCCAAGAGGGTTATTTCAGATTAGAGGGATTGATCGATTAACCTTCAGAGTTTTAATCCAAAAAATCACAACAGCAGTACCAAGGAAGCCGATCTCGTCAATCTGCAAGATCAACCAAACAACTCGCAGTACCAGGATCTCATAAATAGATTTGATTCTAGGGAAAAATAACCAATGAAACCCTAAACCTACACAGCTTCAATCGCATAAAAAAACTTAAGCGAACAAGAAAGAATACCTTTCACAGATCGTCGAAAACTGAACCACCAAACGACGAACGAACAACAACCGAAGCGTCAGGATCAAGAATCACGAGCCTTACAGCTCTGATACCATGTTGAAATCAGACAAGATAAATTTCCCAACATCTTCATTTCTTATATCATTAGAGGATTAAGAAACAGAAGGTTTTCATGTACTTACAACTGAAAATTCACTACACAAACCCTATTCTACTCTCACGACTTAACACTCTCAGCCTAATCTAATCAGACAAACTGATAATACACACCTGAATCAATACTCAAAATAACAAGATCAAACAATTCTCAAAGATTACAGATGAACATCACACTCAAGAAGCGAGAGAGAAGCGAAAGAAACCCTAAACTATTAATCCTAACTCTGATATGAAGGATAAGAACTAATCGATTCTTCACTCTCTCTCTTCCTTTATACATCAGTCACGTGGATACGGGTAAACCCGTAGAGAACCGACCCAGCCATCTGACCCGCGTGTTTTCCCTGCAATTATACTTAACAACCAAGAGAATATACTTTGAACACAAAACACCCTTCATCAACAATAACTTTTCATTTCAAACCAATAAATATGAGATTGACTATGTATTATTATTTTCAACATAACAACGTTTGGTGGTGGTGAGAAGGTCGGCAGAGCTATATGCATGCGGTGGATTTGCATATGGCCTCAAAGTGCTTGCGGATCTGTGAAGCGGCTTGTGCAATAAGTGCAATTGTATCGCCAACTTTGTTGATGTTGTTCTTCGACAGTTGTGGTGGAGGTTATTGAGTCGTTGTAGTTTTCTTGATTTGCTTCCATCGAAGGCTAAAAGAGCAACAAACACACAAAAGGAGAGAGAAGTTTAGAATATAATATTACTGTATATTGTAAGTTGGCATGGAACTTATATATATATATATATATATATATATATATATATATATATATATATATATATATATATATATAGAGAGAGAGAGAGAGAGAGTCAATATCAAATAAGAAGTAAATTTTTGGTAGGAAGGTAAGAAGTTTTTTTTTTCTAAATATTTTTTTCGCGAACAAACAAAATGAATCATTAGATGATTCATTTGTAAGATGATTCACAAGAAAAAATTCTCAAAAAAACATCTCGATGATTCATTTATACAATGATTTTGTTGTTATTCACTAAAATTGTCATAAAAGTGATTTTTTTTCTTAATTTACTTAAAAATGAATCATAAAGATGTTTTTTTGGGAATTTTTTCTTGTGAATCATCTTACAAATGAATCATCTAGTGATTCATTTATTTTGTTCGTCAAAGAAATATATAGAAAAAAAACTTCTTACCTTCCTACCAAAAATTTCCTTCTTACCGGATCTATATCCTATATATATATATATATATATATATATATATATATATATATATATATATATATATATATATATATATATATACTAGGTGTAAGACCTATGTATTACATAAGTTTATTTAAAAAAAAAACTAAATATAAAATTCTAAAAATTTGAAAAGTATGAATTTATAAAAAAAAAAGTGAAAATATTAATTTATAAAAATTAAAATGTTTTTTTTTCTTATCTTTTAAATTTAAACAAATAATTTAGATAAATAAATAAAGAAAATTAATAAATCTTTAATTTGGTAAATTTGAAATTAGAAGGAAATTTCATTAATGAAATTGATATGCATTTATTATTGAATATAAATACTATATACAAATTAATAAAAATGAAAAAAATCATAAAATGACATGTGGAATAAAAATTAATTTAAAATAACCATAAAATTACATGTGAATATATATATATATATATATATATATATATATATATATATATATATATATATATATGTCAAATTCTTTACGAAGTGTTCAAAAAATCTATTTTTTTTTATCAAATTTGATTCTGTATGTTAAATACAAGGGATTTTTTCGATGTAAAATAAATATAAATGTAATATATATGTGATTCACAGGTATATAATAAAAGTGATAGATTGATAGTTCATTATATATCACAACCTTAAATATGATCGTTAATGTAGATACTTGAGAACAATTCGTAACAATAATCGATATTTTTATCAAATAACCTGCAACTTATATATTAATGCTGCGTTTTGCGCGTCATAGCTAGCTGATAAGCTATCTTATTTTTCAAGTTTTTTTGGTTTGTCATGTGTTTGATAAGCCAAAAAACTAGTTTTTAAAAAACTACTTGGAGTAGCTTTTCAGGAGTTTTTTTACAAACTTTCCAAATATACCCTTAATTAATTATAGAAAACTTATTTTGGAAAATATCCGTTTATGTAATTTTATATCTTTCACATATCTTATTAGCTAGTTTTTACCAAAGTTCTAAAAAACTAGTCATGGCTCCGCCATGGCTCCAAAAGCCGGTGCCTGCCGCCAAGTTTTATCAAAACGCCGTCTTAATTCATATATGTGTATAAAATAGAATAATAGTTGAAAATACATATAAAAATATTAATTATATACAAAATTGTCGACTTAAATCACGCCTTACAAACGACGTGGCTCGCAAAGGCTTCGAAAAGTTTGAGGTTTGACATTGCCGCTAAGTCACGCCTTACGTTATTAGCTAGCAACTAGCTTTTTAACTATCAGTTAGCTTTTCAGTTATCAGCTAGGATGTCAAACGCAACCTAAATATGTAAATCACTACAATAAAATAATTACAATGTTTCTTAATCTTACAATTAACAATGATATGTACCAAAAGTTTTTGGCCTAACAATACGAGTACGAGATCATGGCCGACTCTAAGGTTGTACGACCAAACATACATGTTTCGTGTAGGGGCCCATATTTTTATGTACTAAAGACATATATATGAATTATCGACATAATTAAATTCCGTTGGAAATTCGTCGCTAAGGGATAACAACGACATATCAAAGGACAAAATTATGTAGGGACTTTAGCGATGAAATTAGCGACACATTAGCTTATTTGGAATCAACTCACTCTCTAATTACCATCACTAATATTTAGTTGATTATTTGTATATGATATGTTCTGTTTTTAATCATAGCCAATAATATAATTCTTGATGATCTACTAGGTATCAAATCGTATGACATCAGACATAATTAATGATTTTTGCTTCTATATAAAAAAATTAAATTGATAATTCATTTTTACTTTTCGCACAAAATGGGTACCGCCTTGAGGTGTAGGGGTAAAAATGTCAACGTCGTCCACCCTTACACTTGTGCCTTCGTGATGCTTCAACATGTACGCCAAGGAACGCTAAAACGAAATTTAAACATAGCTTCATCCCTTGTTATAGCCAAAATTGAACGTAAACAACTTGGTGGAAGAAGTCATGAATTACGACCTCCATAATTAAATACATCATTGCCTCATCGCAACCTCGCGACTCTAGATCATTTGCTGGAAACCATCAGCGGACATCATTCCAATTAATTATACTATTGATGGGGCATCTTCAATTGGCGTATATCCAATAGTGCCGCGCAAGACTTGACCACGTTAGGGGCTATCTGTGCTATTCTCTCTAATCATATCTCCTTATCTAGCTTGTTTCAATGTCGTTACGTTGAAGAAGGTTAACTAGGATTTGCCGGAAAATGAAGTCACCCATCCTTCCTCTCCCTTCAGGTTCGCTAGGGATTTAAACTTCTAAATCAGAAGCTCCAATGCTCTTGCTCGAACAACTTGAAATCTCCTTGCATGAGACTATGCCTTTGGTCTACTCATGCATGCATGTAACTGTTTGTACATGTTTCAGCAAAACAGTTTACTGAGAATTTTAATAGAAGACCAACACATTAACATCTATGTGATCTGCTTGAAACTCGCACCATCAACTTGAATCGCCATTTTATTATCGGATAACTAGTTTAAAACCGATTCAATTCATCATCTCTTATCTCTCTTTAGCTCTCTTGATAACTCACGGAAATTAAATTAAACACGTGAGCACATTATCTCAGCGGACCTAATTGAGAGCATTTGTCAGAAATACATCCATCACCTGGATCTGTTCTCGTTATACAAGCTCAACCCTCAACTTTCGGTGTACTCTCATATTACCTTAGGTAAGATCTCGACATCCTTATCCTTATCCTAGATAATCTTGAACCAATTCTCCCAAAGATATACCTAATTAAGTTAACATCAAACTCTTTGTAAATATATTGTGAACAAAATGAATTGAAATATATATTATGAATAACAGGGTCGTCCAATATGAACAAAAAATGTAAAAAAAAAAAAAAAGAATTTAAAAGATTAAGAAAATATTGTTTTCTTAAATAGAAATCAACAAAGCAGGAAGAAAGAAGTTAATTGCATATATTCCATGTAAAATTTACAATTATTGCATGAGAAAGAAAGTAAATTAGTAAACTCCCCAAAAAATTTAGTTTGAATTTGTTAGAAGAATTTTCTAGTAGTCGTAATCTTGTTCCCCGGCGATTCAACTTGTCCTAACCTGAGCTCAAGGTCTACTTCATGCGCCGGTGATGTTGGATCTTTCATTACATTATCTTGATGGTTATTTCTTGAATCATGCGAGCCATCCCCAAAAAGTCGAAGTGGTTTGTTTTTCCCTTGACCAGAATTTGAAAAGGAGTTGATTGTTGTGGTGGTGGTGGCGGCGTTTGGTGGCGGTGAGAAGGCCAGTGTAGCTTTATGCTTGCGGTGGATGTTCATATGGCCTCCAAGTGCTTGTGCATTGGTGAAGCCTCTTTTGCAAAAAGTGCATTCGTATGATCGACTTTGTTGATGCTGTTCTTCAACGGTGGTGGTGGTGGAGGTTATTGCGTCGTCGGAGTTTTCTGGGGTTGAGTGATTTGGTTCCATCGACGGCTAAAAGAGCAGCGGAGAGAGAGAGAAACCAGGGCGGATGGAGATGGTAGTGGTCAAGTGATGAATGAGTTATGAAAATATTAGGGTTTACTGTATATGGTAAGTTGGCCTGCAGCTTATATATAGATAGATATCATATTCTTGCCGAAGTGTTCAAAAAGAATCTATTTATTTATCAATTAAAATTAAAAATTATTTTTGAATGATCAATAAAAGGAACCTTCTCGATGTAAAATAAATATAATACATGATTTCACAATGGTATTATTTAAACAATAAAAATAATAGATCCATCGTTCATTATCATCTCCACAACCTTAAATATGATGTTTAAATAATGTAGATACTTGAGAACAATTTGTCACGATATATTTATCAGATAACAAATAACGTGCGACTTCCAGTTATATAACTTTTAAATATTTAAATCACTACAATATAATAATAAGACAAAACTTCAAAAATGGTCCCTGTGGTTTTCGAAAATATCAAGTTTAATCCCTAAGTTCAAAAAATCTCACAGATGATCCCTGTGGTTTCAAAACTTTTAACAAACAGTCCCTTAGCCACATAAAAAGACTAATATGCCCTTTCTATTTCTTTTTAGAATTAATTTTACCTAATCCTATTTTAAAAAATAGAAAAACAAAATAAATAATTCATTGGGCCCACCTCCTTCATTTTAGAATAATTTTAGAATTAATTTTACATAAAAAGTCTTTGTCATCTTCTTCTACTCAATCCCCATCACCCTTTGACTGATAAAAAAACGGGCACTTCATTTACATCAGTTCATAGCCCAAGCCTCTTGATTTTGAAACATCACCACTGCTCCACCACTACTCCGCCATAGAACCACCTGTATCAAATGTGAATCACCAACGTTGGCCACCGTTTGTCAACCAACAACCCCCCTTTTCCCTCTCCTGCTCCGACAATTAATCCTAAAAGCAATAACACCAGCAGAAATCAAGCGAATGCAGAAATCGAGGGAGGTTCTTCGATCCTCGTCTGATCGAGAAGGGAGAAGCAAGAATGGAAAACAACAGCAGGTGGAGGTGTTCGTGAGGAAAGAATCCGACGAACCAAGGCTGCCGCCCCTGTTTCAGTTTCTCTCCTTCCTCCCTCATTATCCCCTATCGATCAACAACTCAAAACATCCCCTCGTTTGCAGTGGTCCTCAATTTTGGCTTCGATAAAGTGAGAGGAAGAAGAACCGATAAACTAGCGAGCTGTTACAACTCCCCAGCCATCCTCACTTGGTTCTCTGTCACCTCCAGCACCTCCTCTCTCCGCCTACTGTTGGTGATTTGAAGTCACAGCTCCGATGAGTGAGCTATCAGCCGAGAAGGAGCTCATCGAAAAAACCGACTGCTCTTCCCTCTTCCACCATTATAGCCGCCTCCGCCTTTTCCCCCCTTGTGACTGCTTAACTACTGCAGAACCACACTCCACCATCAGAGCTTCCTGATCGCAGCCTTCCATTCGTGATTTCAGCTTCTCCGAACAGACGAAGACGGAGACCTGTTCCCTTAGCTCTTAACCGGAGATGATGCAAGTTAAAGCCTCAGAGGGTCGCCGGAGATCGACGACTCTGTCTCTCCTCGCGATTTGAATGACCACCATCGGAACTTCCCATCGCTTCCGATTTGTTCGTTCCTCCAAATCCCCAAACAGATGAAGAAGACGATGTGCGTTTTTTATGTTGAGAGAGAGAGAGAGACAGAGAGAGCAGGTGGGCCCAATGAATTATTTATTTTGTCTTTCTATTTTTTTTTAAATATGATTAGGTAAAATTAATTCTAAAAAGAAATAGAAAGGTGTTAGGGTGCAAAGTCACTCTTGGATGTAATGTTTTAGGCTTTCCCCTTTGTATGTGTAAATGGGTTGAGTCTTTCCTATAAATAGGAAGTGAGTGACTCCCATTATGGAAGGAACCATTTTGGAGTGTTAGACTAGAGAGAGAAATTGTGTACAAACCCATTTGTATATCCTTTCTAGATCTAATATGAGCTTACAAAGAATTATTTACTCCTTGTGTTCTTGATTTTACATAATGATTCACTAGATCTTTCTAATTTCGCACATGTCATCATAATCAACACCACTACAATTGGTATCAGAGCGGGTGTTCTTGATTTGATCAAGAATTGATCCTTGGTGGAAATCTTGATTTGGTGATTCATTTTGTTGATCATTGATCTTCGTGATTTGGAGAGTTTGGATTCTAGAAATCGAATTCATCTTTGATTCTACTCATAATTCGATTTTCTTCACTAGAATTCAAGTGATTTTTGCTTTATCTCTCTAGAAAACCCATTCAAAATCACTTTCTCTCTCTAGAAAACCCAAGTTCATATCGTTTGATTCGAAAGAAAAGAAGCAATTATGGAGAAATGGATGATACATAGTAAAGAAGTTCAAGGTGAATGCACTTTTGAATATCTTCTTTATAGCTTGACTGTTGGATTGAAAAGTGAATGTGATATCGTTGTAAATGGAGAAAAGAATGAAATTGGAGAATTAATTAATTGTCCAATTTATCAAACCAAAGATTTGTTTGATCGTTTGGTTACAACATATCAAAAGAGACGAAGAAATAGAAGAGATGGAGAAGTCATAAAAGGAATTTCTCGTGCTGAATGCAAATATGGAAGCAATAAACTTGAATATTATGCAGATTATCGTGAAGCTCGGGATGGTGTTCATGATGATGATTATGTTCAAGAAAAAGGAGTTCAAGTTGATTTTCATGATGAAAAAGTTTTTTGCTCGATTGGAGTTCAAACTGATGATATTTTGTGTTCTTGTGATTCGTTTGAAGGATTGATTCCTTATCGGAAGCCAGTGATTCAAGAAATTTACAAGTATCAAACTCCAAAAGATTTGATTCAAACTCAAGAAGTTGTAGAAAGTGGGTTTGTTCATGGAGTCAAGTCTTCAAGATGCAAAAAGATGAGAAAGAAAAAGAAGAAGAAGATCAATCGCAAAAATAAGCGGGTTTACTCACAAAAATTGTCAAATGTTGTGAAGCCGAAATCCGTGAAGCAAATTTGGGTTCCAAAGCAACAATCTCCAAGTGTTGCATTGAATTTGAAGTCAAAACTCAAAAGTGTTGATGGTTCTTTTGAAGATGTTCTTGGATCGATGAAGAACACGAAGAACACAAAGAACGAGTTGTACATCTCGCATAGTGGGTGGTACAATGTTCAAATTGGAGATTTCCTCATTCCAACAAAAGAACCAAGATCTTCTAAATTTGATTCATTCGTTGAAAATGGAACTCGATTCGTCAAAAAGGTATCTCAAATTCTCAAATGGATTCCAAAACGTTCATGATTTTGATTCGCACTTTGCGTTTTTCAATTTTTGATCGATTTGCCTCATTGGATCAAATCCGTTTCAACCCCATTGATTGATCCAATTATTTTTGTTTGATCTTAGCCTAATCATTTCAATCCATATCTTTTGAGTCCAAAATTCAAGTTTATTACTGTTCATCAAAAGCCAAAATCGACATATAATACTGTTCATCGATTCATATTAATATTTGGCCCATTATTCAATCCAAAGCAAAAATCTGATTGCACTAGTCCAATTATTTGTTCAACTTTTATGAAGAGTTACTGTTCATAGATCATTAATAAAGCCCAAAATTGTTTATCGGACATTTATCAATCGAAAATCTATTCTCGTTCTCACGATTGTGTTCTTGGCTATCTATCAATTCAGTTCTTTATTTCAACAATATCAATTCTTGAACGATTACTTCTTCTTCAATTGATCTCATTCTTATGTCGATTTGGTATGAGAATCTTATTCTGGTAATCAATTTGAAGATCTAGTTTCTGTTTATGCACCGATCTGAATATTGATGATGATTATTTCAAATATTGTTACTGGAATTGATAATCGATTGATGAAGTTTTGGAGTCGAAATTGGTTGATTGGGTTATTTGATTTCGAAATCAGGTTCAATTTGGTGTTAATTGTTGATTTCGATTTTGGTTGGAGTCCATTTCTGCATTTTATTTGGAGATTGTCGACTTATGAAATACAAGTCAACCTGGAAAGTCAAAATTGGTTATTTAGCTTTCGTTTTAGTGACTGATGATTCGAAATTGTGATGGATTCGATGGTTGGTGTTGCTTGGTAAGGTCGAAATTGATTCTGAAAACTTGATTGAGTTTGAATTCGTTGGACTATTGGGTTAATAACGAATCGACTGGGGAAGAACAGATGGATTGACTGTCGACGGTTTGGAGGTCAAACAGCCTTCACTGTGGAATTTTGGAATCGATTTCAAAGGATTAATAGTCGAATGTTTGAGAAATCTGAAAATCGATATTGGGTAGATGATTTGTATTTTGGATCACAAAACGAAAGTCGGAGTCGAGAATCTGATAACGAAGTTTTGTTGGTGTATTGGAGTCTGAATTTACTTGTTGATTGAGTATTCGATTATTAAACGATGCGTCGATGTGCGAATACTGTCCTTTGGTGTCGATGGTTTTGAAAAGCGAAAACTGGAGTTTATAATCGATAGCTGATTAACAGTTGATTTCGAATTTGGTGTATTTGGCTTAAAAACGAAGCGTGAATGGATTGATTTCGTTTGTTGATGGTTGATGTCGATTGTAGATTTTTGAGATCAGGTTCGAATGGTTGAAGGATTGGACAGTAGTGTTCTTGAGTTCGTATGTGTGATAATCAATTTGGGTTAATTGAAATCAAAAGAACAGATGGGAATGAAGATTCGAATGGTTTGGATGGAAGTCAAAAGCGAATGGTTGATCTATGAAAAGAAAAGGTCGATAACTGGGTTTGCTGTAAAGAATGAAGGTTGTTTGCTGTTAATAATTTTGATTTGGAAAGAATTTGGGGTGAATGTACGAAGGGTCTCTATGTTTGGATTTTGAAGATACGATGGGTCGATTCAGAGGTTGGATGAATGGCTAAAAAGTTACTGTTCATTACTGTTCATTGGATAGGCTTCGAATTCGTGTGTTTGGGAAGATGATTTTCATACGAAGAGGAGTGAGAAGGAAAATCTTCGTATGTTTGGTTGCAAAATTTTCGTGTGTTTAGATGCAGTTTTGTACGAAGCGAACAAAGGGTCTGAGAAACGAAATTGGGGAAGAAAAGAAGGAAAAGTTTCGCATATGGCCCTTATAGTTTCGACTGTTTGACACATTTTAAAACTCTTCGTATGATTGGCAAAAGTCTTCGTATGTTTTGATCAAAAATGGAAAATTTTCGAAAATCACCCCTAAATTTTCGAATATTTGGCAACCTCAATAATTAATTGAAGTTTCGAATGTTTGACACTTTTCACCCAAATTCGAAAATTTTCTGAATTTTCGAATGTTTGGACAACTCTTCGTATGTTTGGAGCACAAATGGCAGAATTTTCGAAAATAGTCCTTGAGGCTTCGAATGTTTGGCGGTTCATACCCAAATTCAAAAATGGACTGTTTTTGCTGAAAATTGAAGAAAATGCATTTCAAGCCCCTGCAGTTTGTGCAAATTGACGCTTTCTACCCAGCTTTGGAAAAGGGGGAGAGTTTTGCATATTTGGCTGTTTTGGGCGCAATGGGTCCCTGCAAGTTTCAGAAAGTGACAATTTTTACCCGGTTTTTGAAAAATCTTGCAACTTTCACCCAAAAAGTCAAAAATTTTCATAAATTGGAAATTTTTTGTGGCTTTTTCGTGATTGTTTTTTCGTGCAAGATTTTTGGTGATTCATTTTTGGCATACATCAAGGGGGAGTATTGTATTGTTCATTCCTCGAGCACTTCTCACCCTTAATGGGTTTTATAATCATTGTTTGATTATAAAAAGGGGGAGAATGATGGGTATTCGAAGGGGGTTTCTCGGATATTCTTTGCCGATCTTGAAGACCGGTGTTACTTCGAGGGGGAGTTTGGTCTTGATCGCGCTAGCTCGTTGGAGATTGAAGCCGGACATCCAATCCTAACTTTGAGGGGGAGAATGTTAGGGTGCAAAGTCACTCTTGGATGTAATGTTTTAGGCTTTCCCCTTTGTATGTGTAAATGGGTTGAGTCTTTCCTATAAATAGGAAGCGAGTGACTCCTATTATGGAAGGAACCATTTTGGAGTGTTAGACTAGAGAGAGAAATTGTGTACAAACCCATTTGTATATCCTTTCTAGATCTAATATGAGCTTACAAAGAATTATTTACTCATTGTGTTCTTGATTTTACATAATGATTCACTAGATCTTTCTAATTCCGCACATGTCATCATAATCAACACCACTACAAAAGGGCATATTAGTCTTTTTATGTGGTTAAGGGACTGTTTGTTAAAAGTTTTGAAACCACAGGGACCATCTGTGAGGTTTTTTGAACTTAGGGATTAAACTTGATATTTTCGAAAACCACGGTGACCATTTTTGAAGTTTTGTCTAATAATAACAGATTTACATATTTAATATCCAAAAATTCACTTCATAGACAATTGAGGCACCTAGGCTAAACGGAGTACTACAACCGTATTGTGTGGTGATGGTGAACCGAAGCCTTCACTGTACTAGGAACATCCTATTCTGGATGCAGTTAAGCTATAGAGAAGAACCGCTCGGGGAAGGGTCATTGCACTGTCTCTCCTCCCATTCTTCCATCCAACGACTATATATGATTTATTTATTTTTTCTTTTTTGAAACTAATGGTCTAAGAAAATAAATATTGTTTCTAACTATTTACCACTTTATAAACACTAATTAGTTTTAATCTTCAATCCCACACTATTTTTTCTCTTTTTCTATTTTTTCATTCACTTTTACATCAAAATGGATTCCAACCATCCCAAAATCCGATCGAAAAAATCTTGTGTTTCTATTTTAAGAACGCAAATAGAAATACGTTATCTTTCGATCCGTTGATTTTGGTTTATCGTCTTCATCTTGATACCCTTTTTCATGCAACCTACAATTTCAATATCAAAATGTTCAAAAATACTATTACACAATGTTTTAAAAACCGGTTTTTTAATTGAACCGGTCGGGTGATGATTTTCGGTTCAACCGATTTAACCGGATGGTCAAACCGGTTCTATATTTTTATATATTTTTAATTATTCTGTATACATTGATTACAAAACTTGTCATCTTTTTAGTATTACAAACGTAAATAAAATGCAACATATAAAAACAATCATTATAGAAGCCAAAATCAAACAAAAAAGCCCAAGACAAACACAAAAACCCAAGACTCTCCGGTTTAATCCGGTCTATTCCGGTTCAATTCAGCCGATTGAACCGGTTTTTTTTACCAAAACCGGCCGGTTCAATCCGGTATGGAAATCGTTATAAAACCGGTCCAAATCGAACCGTCGTCACCTCCGGTTCCCGGTTCGACCGGTTCAACCGGCCGGTTCGAACCGGTTTTTAAAACACTGCTATTACATGACTATGCCAAATACAAAAGATATGTTTTTATTTTATTTTTTTTTGTTTTAAACTGAAATTTTATTTTTCTGTTTTTGTTTAATGTTAGATGTACATTTGTATTTAAATTCAATAGCACAAAAGAAATTATGTTTTTATTTTTTTCGACTTTTAATGCTGGACTTTGTAATTTTTGTTCAAAGGACATTATGTTTTCATTATTATTTTTCATTTTTAGCGATTTTGACATCTTATTTTCCAACGCAACATGACAAACAGGATACCCTGGAAGGATCCCTGTTAAATTACTGAAATTGAATAAAATTAGAAAATACAACAAAAGATATTACATTTGCTATAAAATTTATGTCATAGTTATATAGTGATTCAATTGACACAATTCAAAGACGGCAACAAAGTGGATATAACATAATAAGAAATATATTGTTTGTCTGTATATGTTTTGTATATGAATCAAGTACAAAAAAATTCACCCGGATCTACGTATCTCCCATTAATATCCACACAATAAAAGACAAGATAAACAAAGATTTCATAAAAACTCTTTCATCTCCTCATTGTATCTCATTATATATTTTCAACATATATCGATAACAACAAACAAAATATTGGAGTCCATCCAGCCTCTTTGGTATACTCGTCAACAACATCATGATTCAGCTAACTTTATTGTTTTTAATTCTATCCTTTTAAGTTTTATTTAGTGATCGATAACAGATACTCATCCAACCAAATCATCGGCTTCGTATATGCGGAAACATCAATAATGTCACAATCATGTCCTTTCATATGTACCAACAAATCTATGTGAACTGTCTCATATTGTGTTAACTTTCGACCACATCACCACTAAATTCAGATTAAGTTAGATGGCCAGGTGTTTGATAGGACTTTTAAAACATGATTATTTATGTTTCAAATAAATAATTATTGCATTTAAAGTTATAATAATCAAATTTATTACAGCTGTGATTATTTATGTTTTAAATAACCAATTTTGTATCATTAGTACCATATAACTACAACAAAGCCGATAAGTTAAAGTTAAGTAAAATTACTTCCCTTTAATTTATCCATAATTTTTGTCATAGTTAATGACATTGTAGGAAAATAGGTAATTGTTGAAATTATATATGATAGACTTTTTGCAAAAAATAAACTTCATTAAAAAAAACTTATAAAAAGCATTGTATAGTTTGTATAATTTTTCATATCTTAAATTCCGGATATAATGTAACGATACGTTTTGGACATTCTGTTTATTAGTTTTTAACTTACTAGAGTTTCAAAATACTGAAATAGTGAATTATATAATTACGTTATGTTTATTAGTTTTTAACTTACTAGAGTTTCAAAATACTGAAATAGTGAATTATATAATTGTTACAACTTCAGTCGATATGAACATCTCAAAAATCTCAAAATTACTATCTTCTGTAACATGTTTTAATACAACACAATATTTAATTGTGTATTTAATTTTACAAAAATAATTAGAAAAACTTGGGTCAAACAGTCCCTAGGCATAAGCTACATTGTTGGGCCGGCCATTGGCAGCCCACTAAACGTTAGAATGCCTTCCAAAACACAAAATGTGTGTCGTTGATGATTATTTGATTGTGAAATATATTCTGTATCATTTAAAAGAAAAATCATATATCTTTAGTAATTACATTCGACATTTTCTTCTACAAAATCTGATGCGTTTCATTAGAAATTTATGCACCTCACATGAATTATCTTAATCCAATAGAATGATCTTGCTGAATAATGTGGAATAACGAAAAATATGAGAAACATATGTCCAAACTCTATCATCTGGGGTTTCGACTCCCAATTTTCCCAAGTTTCTAAAAATTTGTAGCGGTGTTTTATTTAGTTTTGATGTAAATTATATAGTATTAATGATATCAGTTTGTGCACTGTTTTGAATTTCAATCATTTAGTGTTTTATTTCAAACCGTAGATTGTTTACTTAACCTATCAAATTATATGTTCATTACAAAAGATAGATTGAAGGAAATATATAAGGATACAATAAGATGTATAGGAGGTTGGAGACAAACCGTAGATTCTTGCTTTCGTTTTAACACATGTAAGTCAAATAATGCATCAAGATAAACTAATTGAAATTTGAAACGCACAAAAGCTTCCTCCTTCCCTCCATAATCCCAATCTGTGTAGCCATGTGCGATGCATTCGTCTCACCACCATCTCTGCTAATCCTCAGAAAGCTTCGAATTTCAAGCTCCCCATATGGCTCTACTAGTTCAATCAAACCCTCAGTTAGATCCAAGTACCGAAGCGTTCATGCCTCCCTCAATCAAAGTCATTCAAACAGATGGTCTCTTCAAGGGATGACAGCACTTGTTACTGGTGGTACCAGGGGAATTGGGTACACAGACAAATTCTTTCTCTTACATATGATACGATTTTGATATTTGTATTGGATAAATTGCGATTTATGCTTGGAACCCTAAGTACGATTTGGGTTCTTCAATATTGCATATACGCATGCCATGCTTTAAAATTCGAAGTCTATATGGAATTTTTTTACAATTCGAATGTGCTACAGTTTAACATCAATATGTCTGATTAGGTTTAGGATTTTGTTTTCTCTGTATACAGGCATGCGATTGTGGAGGAATTGGCTGAGCATGGGGCAACTGTACACACCTGTGCTCGAAATGAATCTGAACTAAATAGCTGTTTGAAGGGTTGGGTGGATAAGGGTTTTGAGATCACTGGTTCAGTCTGTGATGTATCTTTACAACATGATCGTGAAAAGTTAATGAAAGATGTTTCCTGCTTGTTTGATGGAAAGCTTTATATACTTGTAAATTTCCCAAATTTCTATGTTAAGTCGTTCTTTTTAGATTAAAATCAAAAGGAAACAATAACTATGACTTCCTTGGGTTGATTAGTAGGTAAACAATGTGGGGACAAACATTAGGAAGCCAATGGTGGAGTTAACATCTAAAGAATTTACCACACTAATGTCAACAAATTTTGAATCGGTTTTTCACATCTGCCAACTTGCATACCCATTGCTCAAAGCATCAAAAACAGGGAGCGTTGTGTTCACTTCATCCGTATCAGCTTTTGTCTCACTCAAGTCCATGACTCTACAAGGAGCCACAAAAGGTAAACTTGCGACATTTTTGTGTTGTTGCCTTGTTGATGAAAATTTTGTTTGTTGTTGGTCTATTTGTAGGAGCGATTAATCAGCTTACAAGAAACTTGGCTTGTGAGTGGGCAAAAGATGGTATCAGAAGCAATGCTGTAGCCCCTTGGTATATCAAAACATCCATGGTAGAACAAGTAAGTTCCTCTTTGCTTCAATTGTTTTAGATATGATTTATGTTAGAAAAGATATAGATTGGGGGTTAATCTTAATCGAATCCAGGTACTAAGTAAGAAAGAGTATGTTGAAGAGGTGGTTGATTGCACACCACTTGGGAGATTAGGGGATCCAAATGAGGTCTCATCACTCGTTGCATTTCTTTGTATGCCCGCTTCATCTTATATCACTGGCCAAATTATATGTGTTGATGGTGGCATGTCTGTAAACGGTTTCTACCCAAAGCATGCCTAGCTTTTCTTCCTAATCGTGTTTTACTGTGTGCTATCAATTTGCTAATGTTTTTTTTTTTTTTTTGAGATTAGTTTTTTATAATGTTGTGGTTTTAAATTAATGACACTTATGAGATGGGATCACAATAGGATAGTTTTTCAAGTTGCTTATTTATGAGACTTGTCTAATTCTAATTGGTAGAAAAATCTTATTGGAAGAGCTTGTTGATTAGCAAGTTATTAAAAAAACAAAAAGAACTTGTACAATAGCTTTCATGAACTTTTTGGGTTGATAAAACTCCTACAGAGCTCATATTATAAATGCTATATGACGTTGGAATGATTGTAAAGAAATGAAGGGACAACACGTTGGTTGATTGTCTCTTGATATTTTACTTGTGAAAGAAAACAATACTCAAAGTATAAAGTATAATTAAAAATTATACTCCCTCCGTTCCAATATTTTTGTCCACAGACAAAAAATACACATATTAAGTAAAACATTAATTACCATTAACTTTATTTAATAAAATGACAGTTTTGTCTTTACTTTGCATTTAATGTTTCATTAAATGCTTAGTTGGTTAAGTAATAATGAGAGGGTATTTTGATAAAAATATTATTTATTTTTAGAAGTGGACTATTATTTTGGGACAAACCAAAAAGGAAATATGAACTATAATTTTGGGACGGAGGGAGTATAATCTTTTGGGAATATATTACAATAATTAAAGTGGAAGTGTTTACTTTATGATTAGGTAAAGTTTGAGTCAATTAATGCTTTTGATTGATTTGGAGGGAGGATAGAGTTGGTTATCTACTTTAATCAAGTTTGGTTATGGGTGTAAAATTAACACCTCATGTCTAGTCTACCTATTTATCAACCAATGATTAAATATCTACATAACTATTTAAAACAATATCTTTATAAATTATTGGTAGTGTTGATTTTGATTTTTAACATATCTTAAATTTTTTTAATGATTGAACACCATTGTCAGAAATCAGAAACAAACTGTTTTAAAGTGGTTGCGTTTTTGCAAACAAAATAAATCTTGAAACATGTCTATTTCAATCAATTATAGTGATATTTATATCAAGTATTGATGGTATGTAAAAAGATTACACTTGATTGGAAAATGATAGAAAAAGAACACCTGGATAGATGATTAGAGAGCCCCGTTTACTATTTTCTTTATTAAAGAACGTTATCTTCCTTTAGAAAAAGAAATCCTGCAATTTAATTTCAGTTAATTTATGTCTTAAAATATCTACTTTAAAATCGAATATTTGAATGATATTTGTTAGACAAAATTATGTGATTTGTTCCGATGGTTTGTCAAAACAGGTTAGTTGAGTACAACTATTAAAATGGTTATGTTTTTTTCATGACTGATTTGAAATTACTATTTTATCCTTGATTAGTGTTTGCCACCAAGGATGAAGCTTGAAATCTAACATTACCACTCATCATGAGTGAAGCTTGAATACCGAAATCGATTATATGAGTTCATCAGGCCAAGAAGATGATTCAAAAACCTAGAAAAAAAAAGTAAATATTTTGTCGTCAAACACATACACACTAGACAAAACTGCAAATTTGGTCCTTGTGGTTTGTAAAAAACTTTGGATAGGGTCCAAAAAGTTTTTGACTTGCATGGAAGGTCCAAAATCAAAACTTTTCCGTGAATTTGGTCCCAAAATTAGAAGATTCCCGTGGTTTTGGTCCTTGGAAGACCTGAAATGACGGTTTTGACCTTCTAATTTCTTTTTTACATTATTTTTACCATGTATAATGTTTTTATAATTACAAATAAAAAGAAATTAAAAAATATATACACCCCACCATACCGTCTCTCTCTCACACACTCTCTCTCCCCTCCCCCCCCCCCTCTCTCTCTCTCTCTCTCTCTCTCTCTCTCTTCTTCTTCTTCTTCTTCTTCTTTAAAACCTGCAACAAAACACAAATCCACTTGAATTTTGAGTGTAAGCTTCATTGCAGCCCACTATTCCTCTCTCCTATTTTTTTCGTCGGAAAACCCAAACAAAAAAAAGACCCAACGGGGACTGCCACCTCTAACCTACAACTGGATCAAAAACACCCACCATTACATATTCAAAATCAATCTCCAAATGTTCAAGGGACATCGGTTTTACGTTTCCTTCAAACAAATCGAGCTGTCAAAAAACCAACAAAAACTTACCTTAAAAGCTTCAATCCATCGGTTTTGCATTCATCAATGTAATCCTACAGAAACCCAACTCAGTTTAACACCAATCGATTCAATCATGCTTACATCTACACACCACAGTCAGGGATTCCACCTGATAAAAATGCATAAAAGCTCATGGGTTTTCAGAATATGCATCATGAAGTGGGTGATTCCAATGTTTATAAAATTCAATCATTTGTTCTTCATCAGTAATATGCATAAAGAAAACTCCCAATTCCTCATTAATAAACACGAATTGCTCAAATTGAACAAAAATTGCAGAAATTGAAACTCACAAAGTCTTTGAGATAATGAATGGATCCCAGAAAATCTCTTCACCAGAAAATCTACACCCACCCACATAATAATAAACACCAATTGTAGAAACTGAAAATAAAAATTCTAAGCTAACCTAGAAATTTTCAGAAAACAGAAAATCAAATCTAAAATGGAACCTTAGAAGATTTCGATGGCTGAGGGAAAGATATTAGTAGGCTGTCACAAGTTAACACGTTTCAAGCTGTCGAATTTGCTATCGGATTCACCGTTGTCGTATCGAGGTTTTGGTCCAGATGGCAGGCTTCAAGCTATAAAACTTAAACCCATTGGCTCGAGAAGAAGAAGGGGGAATGGAGGCAGTGTGAGGTAAGAAACTTACCGGCGAGAAGGGTCGACGGCTATTGTAGGGCATCTTTACGGGAAAGGAAGGTGATAGCTATGGAAACGAATTGATCATGGAAGTCTTTTTGATGAGAGAGAGAGAGAGAGAAATATGTGGGGTGGGTATTGTGTGGTCAAATGGTCATGCCCATTTCTTTTTTTTCTTTTATATTAAAACAATCAAAATAAACAAAGAAAATGCAAAAAAGAAATAATAAGGGCAAAATAGTCTTTTCATATTTATTTGGACCAAATTCAAGGAAAAGTTTTGATTTTGGACCTTCTATGCAAGTCGAAAACTTTTTGGACCCTATCCAAAGTTTTTTGCAAACCACAAGGACTAAATTTGCAGTTTTGTCTACACACTATTAATTCAAGAATTGATGTCCTTAATGAACATCTTTTGGTGTCCTAAGAACACAACACATACATATGTACACTGTTTCGTAATTTTCAGAGACTAGGTATCGTCCGAGCAAGTTAGGGTTTCAGTTCCAGGTCCATATATGTGTAACATCCATAAAATTTAAGTCAATTTAAAACTTTTTAAATCATATAAAACCATTCAGTTGTTACAATCTGTTTTCAAAATAGTTTAAACATCAGAGTTCCCAGAAATCATAAACATAAATCGAGGAAGTGTACGGTCACGCATTCGCCTTCCCGCGGTCATCTGCTGAACCTGAAACAATAAACTGAAACTGTAAGCCCGAAAGCTTAGTGAGTTACCCCCAAAATACCAACCTCATACAACCATAACATATCATATAACAAACACAAAACAAACATGCATCTCGAGTCTACAGAGTGACTGGTCCGCCCACACCGGGCCTTCAGTCCACCTGGTCCACTCTCTGAGTCTACTGTTTGACTGGACCGCCCGCACCGGGCCTTCAGTCTATCTAGTCCACTCTCGGAGCCTCGGCACGTCTGGTCCGCCCTCTCGGGGCCTTCAGCCTATCCGGACCGTTCGCCGGGCCTTCGGCCTGAGTTTGTGCCCTCCTGGGCCTACAGTCTATCCGGTCCGCCCTGGGTATGTTGACCTACAACACCAAGCAGGATCCGCCTCAACCCAACCCCCATACCAATTAAACAGTCATGTGCACATAAATATCATACACTAGCATGTATATAACAGATAATCATACCGATCTAACAGATCACTAACACAACAACCATCCTATGACCAGGATACCGACCTAACTGGTCACTAACGTAACATCATCCTATATACCAGGATACCGACCTAAACCAGCTCACTAGCATAATACCATCCTAACTACCAGGATGTAGATCTAACAGATCAATAAACATATCAAGCAAATACCCAGATACAAATCCAATAAAGGGCCGGCCTTGGTGCCTTATACCCTGTTGATATAGTGAGGATAACTCACCTTGCAAAGCCGATCTGAAATGAAGAATCAAACTCCTGAATCACCGACTCGCCAAAAATTCCGAGCTATCCAAAATAGCGAGCAATACGTCAAAAATAGGAATATTAATCTTGACCAAGAATCCCACAAATAATATTAGTTCAATTTGCCTTTTCTCTCATTTGGGCCAAGGCCCAATGCCAATCCATGATCTACAAGTCCATATGTGTAGGGCCTAATATTGGCCCAATTTACCAAATTGGGCCCAACTTCCTAAATGGGCCCAACTCCAAGATCCACTATCAAGACTTGGCCCAAAACACCATATCCATAAAGTCCAGCAAAGGCCCAAGCCCAACTAGTCCATGAACAGCCCAACACCCGAAACCCAAATCACAAAAGCCCACAGAAGGTGTACGTTGGGCGTACCCCAAGGCTACGCGGGGCGTACGTGAGTCTCGCGTTGACTGGAAAACGGGGTCATTGACCCAGTACGCTGGGCGTACAGAACCTTACGCGGGGCGTACGTGAGTTTTGCCAAAACTCTAATAAGTGCTTAATGGCTTAAGCACTTAAGCCCAAACCTTAGATCTAGTGACCAAATGTGCCTAGGACTCATAAAGTCTCGAACTTTAACACTTTGGACGTCCAGAAAGCTCTTAATCTAAGTTCTTAATCCATTAAGACCTTCCTACTACATGCATGGGACATATTAAGCCATTGGGACCTCATTTTTAACACTCAAAACCCCTTCAAGAGTCTGAAAGGATAGCTTATCTCGTCCAAAAATGCACCATGCACCATATTGAAGTTTTGGG